CAGATCACCAGCCCAGGTTGGATGCATGAGACAAGTGCTCGGGGCTGGTGCACTGGGAAGACCCAGAGGGATGGGATGGGGAGGGAGGCAGGAGGGGGGATCGGGATGGGGAATACATGTAAATTCATGGCCGATTCATGTCAATGTATGGCAAAAACCACTACAATATTGTAAAATAATTAGCCTCCAACTAATAAAAATAAATGGAGAAAAAAGAAAACAAGAGAAAAGATGACATTGGTAATGTCATCCCTTACCTTCTTAACATTATTGGCTCCAAACACATGAAATAACAGAAAAATACAAATGGTATAAAGATTTAAAATTTTAGCTGCCAAGGGCCCAGGTGGAAATTTGGTGTTGATACAATTTTGCTTCTGTTTTTTTTTTTGTTTTGTTTTTGTTCTTTTGGCTGCAAGCCATGGTGGGATCTTAGGTCCCCGACCAGGAATCTTACCACAGGGATCAAATCCTTATCTCTTCCATAGACCTCATGATCTCCATCTCTCCTGGAGATCCAACATGCCTCATGGGCAAAAAAACCAAAACATAAAACAGAAGCAATACTGTAACAAATTCAATAAAGCCTTAAAAAATAATGATTCTTTAAAAATTTTAAATTAAGATTCTAAGAGATCTTTCCACAACATTGGGCATGAGTTTGAACAAGCTCTGGCAGTTGGTGATGGACAGGGAAACCCGGTGTCCATGGGGTTGTAAAGTCAGACATGAGACTAGCAGCTAGCCTCTGCCAAAACGCGTGCTTGACTGCATGCACCCTCTTCACTAAAATCATATGTAACACTGACCTTCCCCTCTACCTCTTTGGAGCAGTTTCTCAGCTATCTGAAATGCTGTCTTTCGGGCTATACTTCTCATTTTGTCCCAAATAAACCTTAACTCACACACATACACACACAAAGGGTCAGACATGACTGAGTGTCTGAACTGAACTGAACTTGTTCATGAAAGTGAAAGTGGCTCAGTCGTGTCCAGCTCTTTGTGACCCCCCTGGACTGTACAGTCCATGGGATTCTCCAGGCCAGGATACTGGAATGGGTAGCCGTTTCCTTCTCCAGGGGATCTTCCCAATCCAGGGATCAAACTCAAGTCCCCCACATTGCAGGCAGATTGTTTAGCAGCTTTACCAGCTCTACCAGCTTTACCATCAGGAAAGCCCAAGAATACTGGAGTGGATGGCCTGTCCCTTTTCCAGCAGATCTTCCTGACCCAGGAATCGAACCGGGGTCTCTTGCATTGCAATCAGATTCTTTACCAGCTGAGCGTTCATAGTAGCACAATTTATAATAATCAGGAGGTGGAAGCGACCCAGTGTATGAATGGATAAACAAAATGTGCTATATACAGACAATGGAATATTATTCAGTCTTGGAAAGGAAAGAAATTTTGCCATGTGCAACAATATGGGTGAGAATTGAGAACATTAGGCTAAGTGGAACAAGTGAGTCACAAAAAGACAGATTTCATTTATATGAACCATCTAAAGTATTGAAATTCATATAAGTGGAAAATAGAATAGTAGTTATCTAGGGCTGTGAAGAGGCAGAAAAGGAGAATTCTTGTTTTAAGAGAATAGAGTTTCTGATTTGCAAGATGAAAATGTTCTTATACCAATATTTTTACACTGCATCATAAGTTATCAGAGAAGCACTCAAGTTGTGACACAATGTACCTTGTGATTGTCATCAACAGAGTCTGAAGCTTCTCCATTATCACAATAAATTTAATTTTAGTAGTCTGGTGAGCTAAAATAATTAAAATGTTTTATATTGGCTCAGGGGTAAATAGAAGACCTATTGATCAGAAGATAGCATCCATAAAGAAATCTCTACATAAGTGGGCAATTTATACAGGTACATAAAAATGAATTTGGATCCTGCTTAACATCAAAGGGAAAACTAAATTCATATTTCAAATGTAACAGCCAATACTGGGAATTCTTCAGACTGAAGTACTATCGTTTTCATTTGAACCCAGGTCTCCCGCATTGCAGGCAGATTCTTTACCAGCTCCATCAGGGAAGCCCAAGAATACAGGGGTGGGTAGCCTCTCCCTTCTCCAAGGGGATCTTACTGACTCATGAATCTAACAGGGGTCTTCCGCATTGCAGGCGGATTCTTTACCAGCTGAACTACCAGGGAAACCCTATTGTTTTCATAAATAAGACCTGGTAAGTAATACCATCATGTAAAGTATTAAGAGCTATTAACTACATAACTAAAACGAAGCACTTGTGTTCATACGAAACAAAACTGTACAGGATATCCAAAAAGAAGTCATACACTTAAGAAATAATTTTGCAGTGGGTATATTGTTTTTGTTGTTCAGCTGTTTTGTTGTTCGACCCTTTGCAACCCCAAGGACTGCAGCACACCAGTCTTCTCTGTCTTCCACTATCTCCTGGAGTTTGCCCAAATTCATGTCCATTGAGTTGGTGATGCCATCCTACAATCTCATCCTCTGCCTCACTTTTCTCCCTTTGCCTTCAATCTTTCCCAGAATCAGGGGTCTTTTCCAATGAGTTGGCTATTCGCATCAAGTGGCCAAAGCATTGGAGCTTCAGCTCAGTCCTTCCAATGAATATTCAGGGTTGATTTTGTATAACTAACACTAATATCTTGATTATGTAAAAAAAAAGCTCATATGAATTAATGAGAAAATTATGAACAACTCAGTAAGTCTATCACAATTAGATATTTAAAAGAAAATAAATGCATCAAAAGCCTCTCAGTTATGTAATGATAAGAGGTATGTCTGTTGATGAAATAATTTTTACATTGTTACTATAAATGAAAAGGCGTTGATGACGATATGGATCCCCTCATGCTACCATGAGAAATAGAAAAGAATACTTAGATTTACTCATAACAGCATAAAATTAGCTACAAACAAAATTTCCATCAATATAATAAAAAAATCTATTTTGAAGTCTCCAAACACAATGTAAATATACAGAATATTGCAAATTAATTATTTACTGATACACCCTAAGATAACGATGAAATCTCCAAAGTGCAATAATGAGAAAAAATCAGGATAAAAGATTAAAACATAACAATTAAATTTTAATGATCTCATTAAGTTATAAATTGCAAAGGAATACATACAGAGGTGATAAGACAGTGATATTTCATCCTATTGTCAGTTTTACGGTGTAAACATGATCAAATAATGGCGAATTCATAGGAGTCAACCCAACAGAAGATCAAATGAAAGAAAAAGAATTAAAAAGTCAAGATTTTGTTTGTCACTGGGAGGGGAGAGTGTGATGTAGGTGGGAGAAAAACTGCATTCTATAATTAAGGGATTGTTTTATTTATTTAACTTCAGGATAGGGTAGGTACATGCTTGGCTATTGTGTTACCATTCTTGTAGAAGTACACATAGACTTTAAGCACCACTTTGCATACGCTATTAATGAGTAAAATTGAGGAAAGATCCTTCCATATTCCTAATTCTAAATGTAATGATAATATATTTCCTCATGTCCTCATACAAAAGTTATGCATCTCAGGTCATCATAGTCTCACAAAGTGTTTATTAAAAATTCTCTCATCCTTCACATGCCCAATTCCCCTGAGGCGTAAAATCCACAGTTCTTGCTAAAGATCAGGGAACTCACAGTATGAACTAATGTCTACGTTATTCAAATCTGCAGTTGTTCTGTGGATCTCAGTGAAGGAAGCTCTGGAGTTAACAAGAGTGCCAAGCAGGGAGCTGTTTCCCAGATGTGGTGCTGAAAGTAAAACTACCCCTCTGGCTTCCCCAGTGCTTCAGTGGGTAAAGGTATCTGCCTGCAATGCAGGCTTGATCCCTGGGTGGGGAATATTCCTCTGGAGGAGGAATAGCAACCCACTCCAGTATTCTTGCCTGAAAAATCCCAAGGACAGAGGAGACTGGCGCACTACAATCCAAAGGACTACAAAGAGTCAGACGCAACGAAGCACAATCTACAATGAACAAGGTTCTTCACCTTTTTAAAGTTCTTTTCCCATGGCTGATTCGTGTCAATGTATGGCAAAAACCACTACACTATTGTAAAGTAATTAGCCTCCAACAAATAAAAATAAATGGAAAAAAAAATAAAGTTCTTTTCCACTCCCTGGACTCTCCCTTAACAGTTCCACTGTTTCTGCCCCCTCGCCCACATGTGGTTCTGAATGATGGCCTCAAATTTTTGTCCTTCTGGGAAGGTGATCTCACTAATCTTATCTACTCCCCTTTTCTCCTCTCTTTTCTTACTCTCAACATCTCCTTGTCAAAGGAAAGTAGAGCAACTTTCCTCATAAAGACACATGAAAAAGTTTTCCATGAGAGTCCTAAGACTAAACCCAATACACTAAGACATCCATGACACAGTTAATTTTATTCAATGATGTTTCTCTGCATTGACTCCACAAGAATGTGTAAGAAACACAGCAAAAACTCAGACAGGGGCTCTGTCACAATTTAGAGGGGTGGGATGGAGATGGGGGAGAGATTCAAGAGGCAGGGGACATATGTATACCTTTGACTGATTCTCATTGATGTTTTAGAGAAAACAACAAAATTCTGTAAAGCAATTATACTTCAATTAAAAAGAAATTAATTAAAATTAAAAAAAAAACTAAAAATAAAAAAGATGACTAAGAAGAGAAGTGAAAACAGATACATTCTTATAAATAAGCCAATGAGAAAGTTTCAAAGCAAATAAGATGTCAGAGGAAGATTAAAAACATTTGCCCTGTCTACAAAACAATAGTTTATTTTATTATATTACTCAAACCAGTGGGGGAAAACCTGATAAATATAGCAATAAAAGAAAACAAATCAAAGACTTCCCTGGCAGTCCAGTGGTTAAGACTTCACCTTCCAAAGCAGGCGATGGGGATTCAATACTTGCTTGGGAAGCTAAGATCCCAGATGCATCACGGCCAAAAAAACCAAAACATAAAACATAAGAAATNAGGGAGGTGGGAGGGGGGATCGGGATGGGGAATACATGTAATTCCATGGCTGATTAATGTCAATATGACAAAAACCACTACAATATTGTAAAGTAATTAGCCTCCAACTAATAAAAATAAATGAAAAAAAAACTTTAAGGGTGGTCCACAAAAAAAGTAAAAATTAAAAAAATTAAATTGCTGAAGCAATTGAAAAAATACATGGACTCAAGTGTATAGGAAACTCATGAAACACAATAATACTACTTAAATTTTATTGAGGCATTGTCCTAAGTGTTTATTGTTCTTATAGAAATTAACTTTCCAGCAGTATAAGGCTCTAGGAGTAATCAGTTCCCAATATCAGGAATTAGATTAAGTAGGTGGCATATGATCCATTTCTCAGTGATAAGATTGAAGGTTATACCTTACGGGTGATGCCATGTAAATATCTTTTATAAATAGAACTTCAATTAACAACAGACTTATTGAAGGACAGTCAGTTTTATTTGTCTCTGGTAATCATGTCTAGATATGCCTACATCTATTTCAGCCATCTGAGTCCATGAGGGGAATCAGCCTAACATGAAGCCTCTTCATTGAGGAATGAATAAATCTCTAATTTCCTGCTCCTGCACATTTCCTGCCTCTGAAGTCCTTGTGATGAAAGATAATTATTGTTTGAGCATATTAAGAGTCAGAATTTCTTTCTTTTACTAGAAAGAAAATTTTCCTCACTGATCAATTTCAAATATCCCACAATCATTTCAAACTGCTGAGATAATCTAATCACAAAATTTTATGGATGATGAAGTAGAGTGTTATGGATGCTAATGTTGCCTAACATATGTCCAATTTGCCAGTGACCGGTCTTAAAGATTCCTGAACTGAGGTATGAAAGATCAATAATAATGTCTTGAAAATAGGCTTTACTCTGGAGTACGATTTACATGGTGTCATCCAAGGAATTAGGCAGATTCTATTTCTGCACCACCATAGACTTGCTTAAATTCTTTCCTTGACCTGCCCACCTTTTCCTACTTCCCTCGGGCTGGGGATATTGCCCACAACATTACTATACCATGAACCTCTGCCTCAGATTCAGCTTTTATTGGCTCTAACCAAAATCTTATAATAGAGAACGGAAAGTTTATGTCAAACATCAGAGAACTAGAAAATGACACAATCATAGAATAGAAAGTACTCTACTAAAGAGTTTCCTCAAAGCTCCTTTCATGTCTCTGTTCCTCAGGCTGTAGATGAAGGGGTTCATCGTGGGAGTGACCACGGTGTACATCAATGAAGCCACTGCAGTCTTCCTGGGAGAGTCAGTAACTGCAGAACAAATGTACACCCCAAAACCTGTCCCATAGAATAAAAACACAACTGAGAGGTGAGACCCACAGGTAGAATAAGTTTTATACTTTCCACCTACTGATGACTTTCTCAAAATAGAGGAGACTATTCGAGTATAAGAGAAAATGATTCCAGAAACAGGAATGCCACCTAATAGGCTAATTGCAACATAAAGAAGAGTATTATTAATGAGGTTATCAGAGCATGCAAGCTTGATGACTTGAACAACTTCACAGAAGAAGAGGGAGATTTCCAGGTCCTTGCAGAAGGATAGTGGCAGCACCATCAGAGTGTGGAGCAGGGCATTCCCAATGCTAATGAACAAGGAGAGTAGGGTCAGCCTAACACAGAGGTGGGGGTTCATGATGGCTGTGTACCTCAGTGGGTGACAAATGGCCACATAGCGGTCATAGGCCATTGCTCCAAGGAGAAAACTTTCCCAACAAACCAAAATCAGGACAAAGCAGATCTGAGTGAGGCAACCCGTGTAAGTGATGCTTTGACTCTGTGCTTGCATGTTCACCAGGATCTTTGGGATCATGGTTGTGCTTAAACCAATGTCTGTAAAGGACAGATGGGAGAGAAAGAAGTACATGGGAGTGTGGAGGTGGGAGTCAGAGATGACAGCCAGGATGATGAGCAGGTTTCCCAGGACAGTGACCAGGTACATGGACAGGAACAGGTTGAATAAGATGGTCTTCTGTTTTTCATCCTCTGTCAGTCTCATGAGAAGAAATTCAGAAACATCTGTGTGATTTCTGGATTCCATGATGTTGATGAATCTGATGAACAAGATGTGGTAACAAGACAATAAAATGTGTGGTTACTAGGGAAGCAGCAGGAGTGTCATAAGAAGCATAAACCATCTTGGGAATGGAAAGAGACTAAAGGAGTGGGAGGGGAAGAAAAGCATGCATATTTATCTGTAATGTCAAAAAAATCCTAAAGGAAATCAATCCTTAATATTCACTGGAAGGACAGATGCTGAAGGTCCAATGCTTTGGCCACGTGATGCCAAGAGCTGACTCATTGGAAAAGAACCTGATGCTGGGAAAGAGTGAAGGCTAAAGGAGAAGTGGGTGGCAGAGGATGAGATGGTTAGATAGCATCACTGACTCAATGGACATGAATTTGAGCAAACTTCAGGAGATAGTGGAGGACAGAGGAAACTATGCAGTCCATGACTGCAGTAGAGTCAGACATGACTAAGTGCCTGAATAACAATTGAAAAATCCAAGGCTGATAACAGCAGAGCATAAACAGTTCTAGAAAAGGTTACCCCTTGGTTGGTTTTTGAAAATATTTACTGGTATTCATAAATCAGAGATGCTTAATTATTGGTACAAAATAAAAAAAGAAGTGTGAAGATGACATAAGTTATGAACAGTGACTTGGTTCTAATCATCTGATGTGTGTACTCTTTTTATAGCTTTCTCAGGATAAACTTGTACCCAAACACCTGTCCTCATTTCCAAACATTCACTCAGGATCATTAGGTTACCTGGCTGGCATTGCAGTGGAATGATGTCTGACATCTGTGATATCCCAAACCAAAGATCTGTCCTTCAGAAGAGAAGGGTCTGAGTGAGTCACCAGCTCCTGGGCAGGAAGGGTCATCTATGGTAGGAGTCTGTGTGCTGCTTATATCCAAGGAAAGGACTGTGGATAGAAATGGTAACAGATAGATTGCAGTCTTGAACCCTAGAGATTCAATTTCCAAAGCTCCTTGTTAACCAAGCAATTTAATGTTGCTATGATCCCATGAGGGTGCAAGATTCTACATGGGAAAATTCAGGATGGCTGCTTTCCTGACTGTGAGGCCAAGTGTACACTGTCTACTTTTCTGCTCGTGTCCATTTCTAAGTTTTTCATAGAGTTGTAAGAGGTTACAGGATCAAGGCAAAACACTAGTGTGCAAGCACATTCTCAGTTCATTTAGTTAGATTTTACCCATTATCTAATAAGTGGGGCTGGTATCCCATATTAATATTAATTAAACTACCTTCGTCTTTAAAGAATTCAACATTTTCATGTCCCTGTGAACCTGCCTGCCAATGAAGGAGACATAGGAGACGTGGGTTCAATCCCTGGGTGAGAAAGATCCCCTGGAGGAGGGCACGGCAACCCACTCCAGTATTCTTGCTTGGGGAATTCCCATGGACAAAGGAGCCTGCAAACTACAGTTCATAGGGTGAGAAGAATCAGACATGAGTGAAGCAACTTAACATGCAGACATCAATTTATTTCCTCTATTGTTCACTGCTATTGTATGAAATGTGTTAACCTACAATTTTCTGGATATAGTAAAACCAACAGGAAACAAGATAGTGTTGCAATTTCATCCCTTACTACTTTAACCTCACTTGCTTCAAACACATAAAATAACGGAAAAACAAAAGAGATATAAAATTTTAAAAACTAAAGCAGAGGGATGGGATGGGGAGGGAGTTGGGAGGGGGTTCAGGATGGGGAACACATGTACACCCATGGCGGATTCAAGTCAGTATATGGCAAAAACCAATACAATGTTGTAAAGTAAAATAAATAAATAATTAAAACAAACTTACAAAACTAAAGCAGAAGTGGAGATTTGTTATTGTGAAATGAGAGTGAACATAAGAGTTGTGGATACTGTTTGAAACCATGACTGTGAGCGTAGAGCAACAGAAAGGTTCAAAAGAACCTCCCAGACAGAACTCAACCAAGCTACTTGATGGATGGATTATTGATACCAAAAAAATAGAGAGATGGGAACACAAGCATATCACTAAATGAAAACATCACACCAAAAGGGAAGAAACTTAGAGAATATGAAAAGGACAGAGAACTACAAAAACAACCAGAAAACAAGTAACAAAATGGCAAGAAGTACATACCTATCAAAGGGGTTCCCAAGTAGCTTAGGAAGATCCCCTGGAGAAGGAATGGGAACCCACGCCAGTATTCTTGCCGGGGAAATCCCTTGGATGGAGGAGCCTGGCAGGCTACTGTCCATGGGGTTATAAAAGACTCAGACATGACTTAGCTACTAAACAATAGCAACATACCTATCAATAGCTTTAAATGTCATTGAACTAAATACACCAATCAAAAGACACAGGGTGGCTTATTAGATAAAACAACAAGACCCACCTATATGATGCTTACAAGAGACTCACTTCAGAGCTAAAGAACACAGACTGAAAGTGAGGGAATGGAAAAGATATTCATAAAAATAGAATTGAAAAGAAAGCTATTGTTGAGCATAGCTTTTCATGTGTTTGTTAGCCATCTGTATGTCTTCCTTGGAGAAATGTCTGTTGAGTTCTTTGGCCCATTTTTTGATTGGGTCATTTATTTTTCTTGAGTTAACCTACAATTTTCTGGATATAGTAAAACCAACAGGAAACAAGATAGTGTTGCAATTTCATCCCTTACTACTTTAACCTCACTTGCTTCAAACACATAAAATAACAGAAAAACAAAAGAGATATAAAATTTTAAAAACTAAAGCAGAGGGATGGGAAGGGGAGGGAGTTGGGAGGGGGTTCAGGATGGGGAACACATGTACAGCCATGGCGGATTCAAGTCAATATATGGCAAAAACCAATACAATGTTGTAAAGTAAAATAAATAAATAATTAAAACAAACTTACAAAACTAAAGCAGAAGTGGAGATTTGTTATTGAGAAATGAGAGTGAACATAAGAGTTGTGGATACTGTTTGAAACCATGATTGTGAGTGTAGAGCAACAGAAAGGTTCAAAAGAAGCCTCCCAGACAGAACTCAACCAAGCTACTTGATGGATGGATTATTGATACCAAAAAAATAGAGAGACAGGAACACAGCATATCACTAAATGAAAACATCACACCAAAAGGGAAGAAACTTAGAGAATATGAAAAGGACACAGAACTACAAAAACAACCAGAAAGCAAGAAACAAAATGGCAAGAAGTACATACCTATCAAAGGGGTTCCCAAGTAGCTTAGGAAGATCCCCTGGAGAAGGAATGGGAACCCATGCCAGTATTCTTGCCGGGGAAATCCCTTGGATGGAGGAGCCTGGCAGGCTACTGTCCATGGGGTTATAAAAGACTCAGACATGATTTAAAACAATAGCAACATACCTATCAATAGCTTTAAATGTCAATGAACTAAATACACCAATCAAAAGACATAGGGTGGCGTATTAGATAAAATAACAAGACCCACCTATATGATGCTTACAAGAGGCTCACTTCAGAGCTAAAGAACACAGACTGAAAGTGAGGGAATGGAAAAAATATTCATAAAAATAGAATTGAAAAGAAAGCTAGTATAGCAATATGCATATCAGGCAAAGTAGAGTAAAGTAAGTCTATAATAAAAGACAAATAAAGACATTATAAAGAAAAAAAATCAATAAAGAAGAGGATATAATACTCATTAACATATATGTACCTAATACTTAAGAAGCTAAATATATAAAGCAGACAATAACAGATAAAGGGAGAATTTCACAATAAAACAATAATAGTACATGACTTTAACACTTCACATACATCAGTGGACAGATTATCCACACAAAAAATCAATTAGGAAATAGTGGCCTTAAATGACACATTAGACTAGTGGCAATCAATATATATCTATCAGATATTCTATCCAAAAACAACAGAATACACATTCTTCAAAAATTTTTTTAATTTTATATTGGGATATAGTGGTTTTACAATGTGTTAGTTTCAGATGTATTACAAACTGATTTATTTATACATATACATATATATCCATTCTTTATCAGATCTTTTCCCAGACGAGTTACTACAGAATATTGAGTGGACTTCCCTGTGCTATATAGTGGGTCTTTACTGTTTGTCTATTTTATACATAGTGATATAATACATATTCTCTTCAAGGGCACATGGAACATTCTCCAGGATGTATCACCAGCCAGGCCACAAAAGATGTCTCAACAAATTTAAGAAGGTAGAAACTATACCAAGCATCTTTTCCAACCATGTATGAAACTAGATATCAATTATGGGAATAAAAATGGAAAATGATTACTAGGAAGCACTATGCAAATTAAATTGTGCAATAGCGTAACTAATGAGGAAATACAATCTTAAGTAAGCAGAATTGAGGCAAGCTCTTCTAAGCAATCAAGGAATAGCTAATATTAAGAATCAAAGTAAGGACTTTCCTGGTGGTCCATTGGATAAGAATCCCCCTTGTCAATGCAGAGGACATAAAATTTGATCCCTGGTCTGGAAAGATTCCACTTGTCACAGAACTAAGCCCGTGAGCCACATTTACTGAGCCTGAGTGCTGCAACTGCTGAAACCTGCGCACCTAGGGCTTGAGCTCCACAATGAGAGAAGTTGATGGCAATGAGCAGCCCATGCCCTGCAACAAAAACTAGCCCCTGCTCACTGCAACTAGAGAAAGACTGCACACAATGAAAAACAAAATAAAATAGAATAAAGGTACGGTTTTAGAAAATATAGAAAAGGATACCCTCTATCTCATTTCATAAGGCCAAAACAACCTGGATACCTGAAGCACACAAGTTTAGAAGAATGGAAAATCACAAGGCATTCTTACTCCTGCAAAATTACTAACACGCTTTTTAAAAAATTAAATCTAACAAAGAATAAAAATGGATAGTGCATTCTGAAAAATCCAATTTTCCTCCAGGAACACAGGTTGATTTTTGCTCCACAAAGACATGTTGTTTTCTCCCATGCCTCTTTTAAGCCTTTATTAAAATGCCAATTCTCAGCAAGCCTTCTTGCCCTTCTGTGTAAAATTGCACACATTTACTTATTCTTGTCTTTTTATCATTGT